AGCCTACCACGGCTCCTACGCAGCCCCGCGGTTCCCCGTGATCGGACCCTTTTTCCGGTCGGGTCCGGTATCCTCCAGATTCCCACAGACCGGGGAGGCGACGGCAGCAGGAAAAAGGGACAGCAGGCGCAGGGAGGGGGAAGGAAAGGAAAAGGAGGTGGCGGGGAAAGAAAAAACCAAAAAGAACAAAAAAAAAAAGAAGAAGGGGGAGAGAAACCCCCTTCCCCTCATGCGTCGGGGCACCCCACGGCGCGGACGTGCAGTGCCAACCCCCCGTCCCCATCCTCCGTCCCCGTCGCGCGGAACCTCGTCGCTTGTAGACTCACCTGACATTAATTAGATACTGGGCCAAGCTAATGCTCGCTGCAGATCCAGTTATGGTAACCTGCCTGTCAGTAGAGCCTTCCACCGGATTGGCAATTTTGATCTGCGCCCCAGACATCTGGCGGATCTCATTGATTTTGGCGCCCTGACGCCCGATGATGCAGCCAATCAACTGGGGGAAGGGAGAAAACGGCTTCGTTAGCGGCGCGTTAAGAGCCCGTCCCTCCTCCTCCTCCGCGGGGACAGCGCTGGCACCTCCTACGGGGGGTTTAAGGGGCTGAAAAAGGGATTTTTTTTGCCTTAAAACTGGCTGGAAAGGGGGGGAAGGGATGCGGGTCAGCAAGAACGGTCCGAGGAGGCGGTTTGGGGCGCAGCCACAAGTCCCCCTGCGGCTCTGAAGCCGAAAATGGGCAATCCCCCACCTCGTTTTGTTCGAAATAAAGAAGGGGCAGATGCCCGTGACCCACAGGGACAAAAAGAGGGGGACGGGACGGCCGCCTGCCCGCTGCCCCACCTCCCTCCCTCCCTCCTCGATGCGGGGCTGGAAGGGAGCAGGAGCCCGCCGGGGATACTCACATCGTTTGGAATGGTGAGTTCGTGAGAGGTGGTTTGAGCGGAGGCATCCAAACCTGCTTCGAGAGAGAGAGAGGGGGGGGAAAAAAAAAAGAAAAAAAGAAAAACAAAAAAGCAGGAGAAGTTGAGGGGGGGAGGCGGTGGGACGGGGGGACGCGGCACAGACAGACCGCAGCAGTCGAGCCAGCATTTGCTGCCGGCTTT